AGATGATGCTGCTACTGTTTGTCCTTCATTCTTGGAGAGGACCATGACATCAAGGAGGTGATGCTGTGACATGCAAGTGAATTGGATTTAAGTGAGGCAGGGCTGTGCAAAGTCACCAGCCTCACTTTCTCCTCCGGAGCCATCTGGGTCCAGCGGCCAGATTTGACTGGAGATGGCCCACCCAGGATGTAATGGGGGACCTTGGCCTTTACAAGCTAAGTAAGGTCTTTAACAAGTCTCAGTTTGACTGAATGATTGCCAATGTCATCTCTCCTTGTTTGCCCCACCTTTCCCTTTTTCTCTTTACCCCAATCAGGCCTGCTGCCCACTCAGCTTCAGATCTGAGTCCTTAGTCTATAAGGGGAGGAGGTACAGACAAGCTGCTGGGAGGGAAGAAGCTGCCAGATTGATTATTGACTCCAGTTATATACTGGAATGAGAGAAATCATTTAGAGCAGGATTTAAAAAAAATTAATGTGTTTTTAATAAGTTTTTTTATTGATATCTTTTTATAACACTGTAGTTTCTACCAGTATCCCTTCCCCTCACTGAGAGCCATCACATTTTCTAAAGACAAAAAAAAAAAAAAAAAAGGAAAAATTCAGCATAATCATCACCTCAAAAAAAATCTGAAAATACATTGAACGTATAACCCTTGTGGAACTCTTGCCTCAGCAAAAGGGTGGGTTGGCAGTGTCTTCTCATTTTCCTTCTTCGGAGCCATGTTAGTTCCTTATTATTTTGCTACATCCACTTTTGATTTCTTTGGGTGATGGTTGTTTCTGTTTACATCGTTGTCATTGTGTGTACTTTTGGATTGCCTAGAGAAAGGGGTTCTTAACTTGGCATCTATGAACTTACTATTTTTTTAAAATATTTTCATCACTGTATTTCAATATAACTGGTTTCCTTTGTAATCTTATATCTTTTATTTTATGCACTTAAGCAAGTCATTCTGAAAAGACTAAGAGGTCCATGACTCAGAAACGCTTAAGAATTCCTGTTTTACAGACTGTAAGAGCAGAGTTGTGACTAGATTTTGTGAACAGGAAGGGAGAAACTAGGGAACCTTGGAGGTGGAAGCAGGGAAGGGGCCAGACCAGATAATTAGTGTAGTGGCCAGAATGGTGAACTGGGCTCTGAGTCCCAGCACAGCCTTCTTGGACAAGTCACTCATCCTCTCCTAACCTAGGTTTTTCTCATTTGTTCAATGGGATAATATATCCCCTGCGGTTTTCTTGGGATTGTTGCAAACGCTAAAAAATATATTAAAAATAGCTGCTTCCCAATATTCTGTTGATAACCTTCTACATTCAAACTTCTAGAACTAGGTCCTGTAAAGACAGAGCTGCTGAGAATTGCAGATTGGAAAGTTGTTGACTTGATGGAGCATGGGACCTGGCTTTCATTTCATTATGGCCAGAACAGCTTCTCTCCCATTCTGGTGCTAAGCTACTGCTTAACGTCCTTTGTTAACCCTGATTTACCAAGTCCTCCTGCTGTGTGTTTTGGACAAACCCACAAGGGGGGAGGGGGAGTACTGGCTTGACGATTAGGCTGCTATTCAATCCCACCGTAGAGATTCTGAGTAATGCCAATGTGGGTGGGGGTGGGGGGCAGCTACTGATAGGAAGAGGAGAAGAGAAGGACCTTAAAGAGAGTGACTTTACCTTCTGACACTGTTCTCTAACTAGGCTGGAAGCAGGGTGGGGCTAGTGGCAAGGGTTCTGTCCAATCTGGATGCCATCATCCTGTCATGGTGCATCCATGGTACATCGAGTCCTGGAACAGTTAAAGAGGGGTGATAGCCTTTAGAAAGCAGATATATCACGATCCTACCAGTGACACTTCTTCCCAGGGATGATCTAATTCTTCTTTTCTGGCTTCTTCCTCCCCAAAACCTTCAAAACTTAATTCAAAGACACCTTACCAAACCGGTGAGTTCTTGGGACAGTGTTTGTTTAAGTTTCTGATTTCCTTATCAAGGTTCATAGCTCAGGTATTATTATATCTATCCCCAATGCCAGAATTTTGCAGTCCCTTGTTAAAAAAAAAAATCAGCCAGGGTATACTCGAAATCTGTAATTTTATAGCCTAAGCATCAAAATAAACATTACCCCTTGAAAATAACAAAAGTGATTATCCCAGCATCCTGGATAATCATCCCACAATACTGTTGAAAGCAATTACACATTAACAATACAGCGCAACACAAAATACAGTGCTAACACACAGCATCGCTAGACAGGGTGCTTCTAAATTACATGCAGGACATAACACATATATCCATAGTACATAGTACATAGTACATAAGCAAATCATCAACAGCAACAAAACAAAGCAAACTAGCTTTAACATTACAACATATAACTACTAAACATGGGCATGACTATTAATGTATAATAATAAGATAATAACATAGCACTTTAGTAATAATAATAATAATAACATAGCACTTTAAGATTTGCAAAGTGGTTTTACACTTATTTCTTTCATTCCCACATTTCACATCCCTCCACAATGCTGGCCGTCTTCTTTCCCATTGGCGAGTTTCTCCCGTGACCTCCATTTTGTGAGGGAGAGACACATCAGTCTTCATTCTCCTCCTGGCTGATTCTGACTTCCTATTCTTTGACACCATGTCCCCTCTGGTGGGCACCTTGCCCCCCACCTCATTCACCTCTTTGTGTGTTGTGTTCCCCCATTAGATTGTAAGCTGCCTGAGGACGGGGACTATCGTTCTTTTTCTCCTGTTTATATCCCCAGGACTTAGCAGAGTAGGTGGCACATAGTAAGCACTTGTTGCCTTCAAATACGCAAGTAAACAAATGAGTAAAATAGTTCATAGCTGACAGACGTGTTGCTATGTAGCACATCACGTAACAAGCACACAAGCAAATTTACATAAAAACAAGACATAAAATAAACATATTTTAAACATGTAGCAATTAATATGTGTATCAATGAACATGTACAGTTACATACAGGGTACCTTTACATGGGCAATCTGTAGTATTTTACCTGGCTTATATGTATGACTGCATCTTCTAGTTCACTTATAGCATCATAATTTTAGGTCAGGGGTCACATGAATCTAACTCCTTTGTGACCTACTGCATTCTCTGTCTTTCCTCCCTGAACTGGTTGAGGGTATGGGTCAGTCATCATCAACATAGCTATAGGCCTGCCTCCCTGAAATTGTTAAAGGGTCAGGTTGACTGTTGATATTTCATTCTGTTCTGTTGGTTTTCTGAACCCGAGGAATCTTCATAGCAATCTATAGTTCTAGGTGAGAAGAAAGTTCTCTCTGGGTTCAGTATTCTCCTGTCTGAACTGGGGTCTCCTTCAATTGGAAGGAGAAGAATTGGGTATTAGTACCCAATGTTTGCTTTACTAGAAATGTCATTATAAAAGCCAATATCTGGTTCAGGTAATCTTTATAAATGGTGGGTGGTCTCTTCTGTTCAAAGAAGGCTCCTGAGGTAAGTATCTGTCACCTTCGTACTTAACCATCAGAAAATCCACCTTAATTTTCTATGGAAATAAGTAATTGTAATTAATTGACTAGAGCTATTTGTGTGTATATATATATATATGTATATATGTATGTATATACATACATATATACATATATATGTATAAAAACTGTCTCAACAATTTTGCAGAAGTTAGCTTTCCACTGGTTAGCTATCCTTGGAACATGGTTTTTCAACAGAATTTCTCATTGTCTCATTATTATTCTCATGGTCTCATTGCCTCTGAGGTCCCCAAACCCCAGACGGACATTGCTTAAAGAAAGCTTAGGCTTGGCTTATGTCTAGGAGTCTCCTCAAAAGAGAAAGGTATTTGGTGTGCAATTTAGATCAGGTATAGGACAGCTATTTTATTTCCTCCATTTAAAAAAATGTTCAAAATGTAAAAGACTCATAATTGCCCAATTTCAAAGGCTTAAAACAAGAAATGGTAACCCATAACTCCTATTATTCTCTTCTGGGAGGCTGACACTTAAAACGCATCAAAATGTGAAACATTTTGCAGAAATGCTGAATAGTCATTTCACTTTCATCTTGGTGTTATAATTTTTGAGCACCACCCTCAAGGTCCATGTCTATGGTGAGCCAGGTCATGACTTGGGCTCACCTTCCTGGTGGTGGTTTTCTTTCCTGAGAAGTGTAAATGTAGTGAGCTACTGGGAATACCTACTGCTCTTAATTCTTTTGGCTCTGACCCATAAATGAACCATTCAGTGACTTTTACAGGAATCAGGTTAGGTATTATAAAGAACTTTACAGAAAGGCTGGTTATCACCAAGAACAGTTAAAGAGTCTTTCTCTTTCTTAGACCTTGGACTTTATGATCTGTTCTTCCCTTCTCCCATCTCAAAACCCAGCTTTATTGGGAGGTGGTGGGAGGGTTTGCTGCTAAGCTAGGGTAGGGTCCACATTTTAGTTTGTGGTATAGTGGGTAGCAGTGTCGGGTAACGAAAGGTCGTTGGACTGGGGAGTCAGAAAGCCATGAGTTAGAGTTTTAGTTTTGCCTGGCTGTGTTGTTACCTTGGGTAAGTTATCTTAACTTCCTTGGGTCTCCGTTTGCTTATCTTGTAAAAAAAAAAAAAAAAACAAGGGAGTGGAAGGGTTTGGGTGATTTCTAAGAACCTTCCCACTCTAATACTATGTAAATTATGTAAAAGTAGGAGAAATATAGATTAACCTCTCAGAGAAGCTGGCCAGTTGGGTTTCCCAAGTTTCTCAGAGTGCTCTGTTCTCTAAACCAGAATTGGTAATAGCCATTGACCTGGGGTGATCAGAGGAATGGGTGGGGTAGATTGAAAAGTCCATCTTTTGGGCTTGCTTTATCTGTTCTACTCTTTGCAACCAGGTTGAGGAAAGGGAGCTGGGTCTTAAAAGAGAAAAAAAAAAACAGCAACTCAGTAGCAGATTTATTTATATCACTACCCTGCTTTTCCAAACTTCATTAACACTTTGTGTTCTGTTCTCCAGACCCTGCTGCTGTATTCTCTTCATCATCCCATTCTCCTCGTGATCCAGACTCAGAGATCTGCTCCTCCATCCTGCATTTGACCTTGGGAGGGCCTGCCTTCCTGATCCAGGAAGATGCCGATTCTCAAGCAGCTAGTGTCCAGCTCGGCCCACTCGAAGCGCCGGTCACGAGCAGACCTCACAGCAGAGATGATAAGCGCTCCCCTGGGTGACTTCCGCCACACCATGCACGTGGGGCGTGCTGGGGATGCCTTTGGGGACACCTCCTTCCTCAACAGTAAGGCTGGGGAGCCAGACCCCGAGTCCCTTGAAGAGCAGGCGAGTGCTACCTCCTCATCTAAACCCAGTCTTCTGTCTCGAAAGTTTCGGGGCAGCAAAAGGTCTCAGTCAGTAACACGAGGAGACCGACGGGACATGCTGGGCTCTCTGCGGGATTCTGCTCTTTTTGTGAAGAATGCGGTGTCCCTGCCACAGCTCAACGAGAAAGAGGCAGCAGAGAAGGGGTCTGGCAAGCTGCCCAAGAGCCTTTCGTCCAGTCCTGTAAAGAAGGCAGCCACTGGAGGGGCAGAGGAGGAAGAGGTGGAGGAGGACGGAGGAGCTGGGGAGAAGACACCCCGTCTGAATGGATCTGGGGGTGCCCACTCTCCTGACCCCATCCTTGATGAGCGGGCCTTTGGGGACATCACAGACCTGCCTCACGTACCCAAGGCTGGCTATGGGTTGAAGCATGCAGAATCTATTATGTCCTTCCATATTGACCTGGGGCCCTCCATGCTGGGGGATGTCCTTAGCATCATGGACAAGGATGAGTGGGACCTAGAGGAAGAGGACGGTTGTCACGCTGACGAGGGCCCCAGCCACAGCAGCCAGCCCCCTCTTCCTGCCGCTGTTCCTCTGCTACAGCAGGAAGGGAAGCCTGGTCCGGACTCCCCGCTGCTGCCTCCCTGCACTTTGGAGGATGAGGGATGGGCGGCAGCAGCTCCCAGCCCAGCCTCTGCTCGCAGTGTGGGCAGTCATACCACAAGGGACAGCAGTTCCATCTCCAGCTGTGCCTCTGGAATCCTGGAGGAACGAAGCCCCGCTCTCCATGGGCTGGAGAGGGCTCGGGTCCCTCTCGCCCGACAGCCGAACAAAGAGTTCTCCTTTATGGACGAGGAAGAGGACGAGATCCGTGTGTGAAAGGGGGGCGGGGGGAGTGTGGAGTGGCTCTGCACAACTGACTTGTTTTTGTCCCCACTCCCTGTGACTTTTCACCTTTCTATGGGGCTCCCAGAGTCCAGGTAGAATAGCCCTTTGAAGGGTCCTTGGCAGGAAGTCTTAGTTGCAGGAGACACCTCTGTAATTCACCTTTGCCTGTGAATAGAATATTTGACCCTCTTTGTGACTGCTCCTAGATGTGGGATTTGGTGGAACCTGTGAGTCAAGCAACTCTGGGTTGGAGCGGGTGGGGATGGATTATTTACCTGACGTCTACGGACAGCTTGCTGTTAGCCAAGACATCCAGGGGTCAGGGATGTTTTCTTGGCCAAGGAACACTTCAACATGAAGCAGGAATCCATTTTCCAACTTTCTTTCTAGTTCCCTTCACTCTTACCTTTTCCCAAATGAATGCCAGATGTCAACTTGATTGCCTCTCCACGTTAAGCAATACCAGGGCAGCAGAGCCAGACCTCTATTTGATCTCTGTTTCTCCGGCTCATAATGTGTCTCCCTCTTTTCTCCCTTCCCATTCCATGCATCTCCCTCTCTCCCACTCTGTGTAGCTTCCTCCTCTCCCCCAATTTGTGTCTTTCTAAACCTCTCCCACCCCTCCACCCTCTTCCCACCCCATGTTTCTCATTCCCCATTGATTTTTATCTTGATTTGTAACTTTGTTTTCTGGCTGCTAGCCGTTGCTGGAAAGAGGTTTGAGCATGAGAGGAAAGGGTTGGCATTACATATGGTGCAGGTGGGGGAGTCCTCTGAGAAGCCGCCCCCCCTCCCCCATGTACCTATTTTCTTTGCTCATGTTTCTGTTTTAATAGGAGGTTGGAACAGGGGAAACTGTTGGGAGGAGAACTATAAAGTTCTTGGAGTCTGGTTGGGAAATGTTCCCCTTTCCACTCCCCCTCCTCTGGGAGCTCTCTTGCTGCCCCTTTCTAAGAACAGAAGTTGGGAGGAGCTTAGGGTTCCCCCAAACGGGTCTGGGCCTCCCTTTGTCTTGGAGGGTAAGAAGCTTGGCTGTGGGGGGAAGACAAGCAGTGGTTTGGGAGCTGTAGCCCATCCCTCCTTCTGGAGCTCCCCTCCCCCTCAGCAATGCTCCATTCCTGCCTCCCAGAACCCCGGGCAGGAAGTCTGGGGCCCCTTGGAGTTAAACAGCACCAGGTGGCTGGGTTGGGATAGTATACGTGGAAAATCTCTCCTTTCCCACAGCAGCCTCTGGGGAGCAAGGAGAAGATGATGATGGGAAGGCTCTGAGAAGGGCCCCCAGGTTGGGATTCTGAAATTTAGTCTACCCAAATGGGAGTAGTGATAATAACAAAACACGGGTGCCCAAACCACAGGGACCAGCTATTGACTCAGCCTGCTTTTTTTTTCTTCTTTCAAATAATGTGGGTGTAGTTTTTCTTTTTAATTTTAATCTAGTTCCTTTAAGGGAAAAAAAGGCCCTTATGGTGAGTAGGGTTCTTCCCAGACTTACCTGTTCTCTTCCCTGACCTGCACTATTCCCCTTTTCTTAAGAGTTTCATTTACCATCTCTTGGGCTGGTAGTGGGAATCTTCCCACTGGTGAGAAGGTTGACCGCCCCCCCCCCCCAGAGCTGTACAAGTTGTACTGTGTTAGTGGTCAGCCTTGCTCTCGTATTAGGGTTTCACCACAGACTGACCTCAGAGGTCATTTACTCCAGTCATCCCTTAACAGGAATCCCCTCCACAGCATAGCATCCCTGACAAGTGGTCCTCCAGCACTGATTTAAAGACTTCTGGTAAGTGAGAAACCATTACCTCCCATGTTGGCTTAGCTCTTTTTGTTAGGAAATCTTTCCTTACGTTGATCTTAACTTGGCCTTTCTACCACTTCTACCCACTGCTCCTAGTTCTGCCTTTAAGGCCCCAAGAACAAATCTCTGGTTCCTCCTGCAAATACTTTAAGGCAGCTAACAGATTCCCAACCCAAAATCTCATCTCCAGCATAAACACCCCCATTTTCTTCAACTAGTCCTCAAAAAGGCTTGACCTCCAGCCCTCCTATTCAACCTTTTTCTTATCTGAAAGCTACCCTGCTTGCCCCCTCTTCTTTCTTCTTGACATAGTGGTTTTGGGCTGGGTGAGAAGCCCAAAGAATCAAATAAACTATAGCCTAGGTCTGGAACTGGGGGGTAGGGGGGGAGAAGATGAGAGGGAGGGGATAGAACAAGACTGAAGCAACTAGTGACACAGGTGATGACGACTATATGAAACACTAACTTAGCTCTTTAAAAGCACAGACTTGGGTGATGTCCATGGCCAGTGACAGTTCTGAATCACAAAGGGATAATGAGCCTATTGGGACAGGGAGAGGGGAATGGGGATGAACCCCACCCCTGTGTGGGCAGCACATGAAATGTTTACTGGTGATGATGTAGCACACACTAAAATGCATATTCTTTTTTTTTTAAATGAGGCCTATGGAAGACAGAGTGGAAACATTAAAAATCCTTAGTGATGCTTGGTGTTTTCAACTTTGTGTGTTTATGTGTGTATTGGCGAGGGCAGGGGCATTGGTGATGGGATAATGTCCTAATTATGGATCTTTACTGACTATTAGTTCATTTCCTGTGAGGCATCGGGTCCTAAAGGCTCTTTGGGCCCCTCTTCTCATTCTCCCCCTAGGCTAGGTGCTTTCCAACCCCCTTGGAGAAGACCTATCAATTTGTTCCAGTCTTAGGCAAATGCTTTCCCTCTCTGAGCCTGTCTCCCTATCTGTAATATGTGGGGGTTGGTTTAAATCGGTGGTCTGCAAAGTCAGGGGTGGGGAGGTCCTCTGGGGGGGAAATGCACACATGATCAACCATCTCACTGTTATACCAGCTAGCCAGTCATAGGGCATTTCTCCAATACAACCACACCTTCCTTTAATTTCCCCCAACATTCCTTTATACTACTGCCTTCTCTGACTGGGTCCTTCTAAACCCAAATTCTCAGACCCTCAGGGCAGTTATAACCTAAATGCTACCAGGCGACCATATTGCAGCAACTGAGCAGGTGCCTTTGAAAAAATTTCCCCCTGGCTGTCTGGGGGTGGGGTGGTAAAGAAAGGGACAAGTTTTTGTTAGGCACCTAGGTACTATGCTAAGCACTTTGCAAAATTTTTTTGGGGGGGGCAAGGCAATGGAGGTCAAGTGACTAGCCCAGGGTCACACAGCTAGTAAGTGTCAAGTATCTGAGACCGAATTTGAACTCAGGTCCTCCTGACTCCAGGGCCAGTGCTCTATCTCACTTTACAAATATTTCATTTGATCCTTATAACAACCCTTAGGCAGTAGGTGTTTTTATTAAATGTGTTTTACAGATGAGGAAACTGAGGCAGATAAAGGTTAAGTGATTTGCCAGGGTCACATAGCTGTAGGGTGGATTTGAACTCAGGTCTTCTTGATTTCATTAAGAAGGAACCCTTCCTCCCCACCCTACCCCATCCTTTAAATTTGGGGTGAGACTGGCACAGGATGAGCAGGCATGGATGGGTTGTGATCTGCATTGAAGATGCTATTTACTTTTTCTTCCCCCAAACCCATCACTCTTCCAGACTTCTGTATCACTGTCAAAGACACCAACATCCTTTCAGCCACCCTGGGTTCCCTCACTCCACTGCACCCATTTGCCAGATTTTGTCATTTCTATTTCATGATCTCATAATAAGTCCCCTTTCTCTCTTCACATGGCTATCACCCTTGTTCAGGTCCTTATCACTTTTGCTTGGACTATTGGATCTTCTTGCATTAAATCTCCCCTCCTCTCCACAATTGCCAGAGTAAGTTTTCTTTTCTTTTCTTTTTTTTTGTGAGGCAACTGGGGTTAAGTGACTTGCCCAGGGTCACACAGCTAGCATCAAGGGTCTGGTATGAGACCAGATTTGAGCTCCTCCTGACTTCAGGGCCGGTGCTCTATCCACTGAGCCACCTAGCTGCCCCAGAGTAAGTTTTCTAAATCACATGTCTGAGCATGTCACTCCTCAATAAACTCCAGTGGCTCCCTGTTGACTCTCGATCAAATATTATTTCATCATGAATTCAAATCTTTAAAATTTCCAGTTTTATATTTTATAAAGGTCACTAATTATTAGTATTATGTACATATATATGCATACAATATAATAATAGCATTTATATAGTGCTTTAAAGTTTTGCAAAGTAATTTTTTTTAAGAAATATCTTCTCATCTTATCCTCACAACAACAATGGGAGGTAAGTGCTATTATTATCCCCATTTTACAGATGAGGAAACTGGGAAAGATGGTTTGCCCAAGGTCACAGCTAGTAAGTATCCAATGTAGAATTGAACTCAAGTTTTTCCTGACTCCAAGTCCCGTACTCTGTTCATTTGGCTACCTAGCACCCCTTGTATGTATTGGGGGGAAGGTGTTGGGTGCTCAAAAACTTTATTCTAATGAGGTGCTTGATCAAAAAAGGTCATAGTCCACAGGTCTAGATGACCTACAAGATCCCTTCTAGTTAACATTTAAAATCTAGTGGTTCTTGGGTTGGGAAAATGGGGCCGGTGAAGGGCTATAGCCAATGGGAAGCAGGTTATGTTGAATTGAGCTTAACTCCTTCCCTTTCACCAACCCTCCCCCCCCCCACCACACACACATAACACCTTTTCCAAGATCTTTCCACCAACTTTAATTTAGGTCTCTTGGGTAATTAGTCTGCTAAAGGAATGAGTTTGATGTGTTATTACCAGAAAAATGAGAAGTCCTAATGAGTGTTAATGAATTTGATAGCACCCCCGTAGAGATAGCCATAATATAGCAGAAACAACAATGAACTTGGAGTCCAAGGACCTTGATTCAAATTGACAGCTGGGCCTCAGTTTCCTGGCCTGCAAAATTAGAGGGTTGGACCTCAGAAGTCACTTCTCGGCTTTGATCCTGGAATCTCTACGATCCCAAGCCCCCTTGGGTTCCTTCTAGCTCTGAATCTCAGGAAGGCTAGCAAACAGAGTACCTTGCAAAAGAGTTTGAAAGAAGCAGCAGCAGCTGCTGGCTGGTAGAGAAGGGGTCAAGTGTTCTTCCTCCCCAGAGTCTCCTTTCCCTTCACTAATAGATGTGGCATTGAGTCTGGTGGAAATTAGGCCAAGGAGGTGTCTCTGCCCTGGTTTCTTGGGTAGGGCCAGGTGACCTGCCCTTCTTGTACTTCCTCAGCCTCCTCCCTTGTCTTCTTTCTCTTCCCTATGCCGACCTCCCTCCTCCTCCTCTAGGATGGGTCTCCTGCCACCTGCTGTCCCTGATTCTAAGGGTAAACACTGCCTCTTAGGCAAGGTTCCTCTCCATTCTCCCACCATCCTCTTGGGCTGCATGTCTGTTGAATGGGGTTGGTGTGAACCTCTCCAGAGGACTAGCTCTCCAGCCTCGTGTAGGAGAAATAATTAAAATGGATAATGAAATGTAAATGAATAATACTCATTAAAACTAATGAGAAAGGAGAGGGAGGTGACTGAGATTAAAAGTTACCCAACAGGGACAGGACGTGGCAACCTATTGGGAGGCGGTGATATGGGACTGAACTTGCAAAGTTGCAGTTGAGGAACACCTGGAGGGGAAAAGAAATAGGAAGGAAGGAAATAAGGAAGAAGTATAACCTGGGAAGGAAGGAGACAAGCATTTACTAGGCACCTACTATGTGCAAGGCATTTTACAAATAATATCAAATTTGATCCTCACAACTCTGGGAGATAGGTGTTCTTATTCCCATTTTACAATTAAGGAAACAGGCAAGCAGAGGTTATGTGACTGGCCCAGAGTCACAGGCTAGATTTGAACTCAGGTCTGCCTGACTCCAGTCCCAGCGTTCTATGCACTGCACCCCCTATCTGCCAGGAGGGAACAGAATAGGGTACTGGAATTCTTGGAGACTAGAATCCTAAAATATTTTGTAGGATAATAGGGTAGAATCACAGGATTATAGATTAAAAGCTGAAAGGATATAAGAGCTATATAATCCCAACCATTTCATTATACAGATGAGGAACTAAAGTCCAGAGATATTGACTTGCCCAAGGTCACATAGCTTGTAAGCTGCAGAAATGAGCTTCCTTGGATTCAAATCTAGGTTCTCCAGCTACAAATCTAGCTTGCTTTACACTATACCAAGATGCCTCACAGCCCTGCCCTTGTGTATATATAACTTTATAGCTAGGGGAGAGGCCCAAAATCTAGTTTTCAAACTCTATTAGGTTCCTATGGCTCTGAAAAGCTGGCAGTAATAATAGGCCTATCACCCAGGTGTGTGGGTACGGGGCAGGAGGAAATAGGACATTTGGTTAATCATTGGTCATTTAAAATTAACATTCTAGTAGTAATTGCCACCTCACCTAACCCAAATCCTCAAGTCAGGACTTTTGATAACTATCATTTTTGCTGGAGGGACAGAAAGTACCAGCAAAAGCTATAACTAGCATGGGACAAAGGGCTTTGCCCCACGGTGCAGAAACAGGAGTGGGGGAAACTTAACATCACCTCCTCCTGATGGTAACCACCAATCTCAAATCTCACCTTGCATATACATTCTAACCCTCCCTCAGGTCCCTCCTTCCTACCTACCCTCATCGTTGTAAAGAGTAGACTACTGCCTTTCCTAGTATGACCACACCCTTGGTCGGGTCAGACAATCCTCTGTACCAGGACCCCAATACTCCTTCCACCCCCAGCTGTTTTTGTCCTAGACTAGACGGCAAAAGGTGAAAAAAAAAAAGTCCTCATTACAGTTCTAGAACTAGCAATTTGGTTGGTGGCTAAGCAGGGTAGAGATGCTGTTCAATTCAGTAAGCTTTAAGTTCCTTGCCCCTGTGATATGTACTGGAGATAGATGAAAAGGTAAATATTGGGCAACAGAGGCCCAGCTTTGGCATTAACTGGACGTGTCAAGTTGTACCGGATAGTCTAGTCCATGACAGAGTTTGTTCCAGAGGGTATTAAGAATAGGCAGTCTTTGGCCCACTCTGTTGATAATTCCCATTGTCTGATAGTCGGTGCTCAGCCCAACAGGTTGGCAGCCCTTGAAAACCAGGGACCTGGGGCTCAAGCTGGCACTGCACTTCCCCGGGGGAGGGAGGGTGGGGCTTGGAGAGCTGGATCAGAGCAGAGCTCCTAGTTTGAACTTCGTTGCTTACCAGCCCTTTTCTGTCCGTGACACACCCATGAATTTGCTGGCACAGAATGGGGTTCCAGCTATCCACTCCTCTGGCCATGCACACACCCCATCCCCAAGCTCATCCGTATGATACAGACGTTATGGTCATCTCCCTCCTTGCCTCTATGTTTACCATGATGTACAAGGACAAGACAATGGAAATGGAGAGGCTCAGAAAGACCATCTGATTCAACTCCCTCATTTTACAGATGAGGAAATTAAGGCATAGAGAGATCAAGTAATTTATCCAGCATAATAAATAGATAAATAGTTAGTGGCAGAATTGTTCTTGATGTAGCTAAATAGAATGATGCTCTG